GGAGTGAGGAGGCCTTTACTTCATGGGGGGGGGGGGGGGGCGGGGGGGTCGGGGGGGGGGGGCATCAGGATTAACAGCCTGGCATCAGATGAATAAATCTACACGTGAACAGGAGGAGTTATCCTGCTCCACATGAAGTAAAGGCCTCCTCACTCACTGTGGTGAACTTGTGAGCAGGGATCTTCTCCTGGCCCTCTGCGATGGTGTAGAAGAGCAGGTCCTCCAGGCTGGGCAGGATGCCCGCCTTCCTTCTCCTGCAGGAGAGACACATAGAAAACACAGAGAAGTGAGAACAACTACGTCCTGTGGTGGAAACATGGAGGGGAGCTGCAGCAGAGGGAGGAGGAAGAGAAGCTTGTGGACTGCAAGGAGAAGCAGTGAGGAGTAAGTGGAAAACACTACCTTACACTGACCTTAGCTCAGAGTTAGAACCTGTGGAAAAGACGGTTCCACGGCTTAATCTGCTGCCATAAGGTCACTGTAATGTCAACTGTAATCCTGTATTCAGACAGAATACCAGCCAGGAAGGAATTGATCATTTTCAGTGTTTTATTTTGGGAGAATCGTGGAGGCAGAAGACCAGAAGAGCACGGTCTCATGAGCGAAATGATTTTAAACATCTGGTGTGTTTATCAGCTAGTATTAGTACTACTACTAGTACTAGTACTAGTAGTATTATCTGGCTGGTATTCTCAGCAGCGCTTCCACACCGAGGCGTCTCTGGGAGGAAAGTTAGTAGCACGTCAGGAGGCTCACAGCAGGCTCTCTGCTATGATTCATACCAACGTGTGCTAGGAGAGGATGTCTGAAGGTGAAGCTTTAGTCGGCAGGCGGCTCCTGGAAAGCTAAAGCTGAGTTTGGACCCTTTTTGAGAAAACGAGACGGCTTCACTCAGAGTCAGGAAGTCAGAAACCCTCAGAGGGAACCGTGTACTGACAGTAAATGTACTGTACTGTTATCTGTTACTGAATGTGGTGTTTTGAGTCCACGAGCTTCCTCATATTCCTGACTTTCTAACCCGAGTGTGAACGCAGCATCACTGCTGCAGAGCGTCGTTGTTTCGTCCTTTAGGAACCTGCAGCTCTCTCATTGCTGACCTCATTAATGCAGGTTGATGTCTGCTGGCGAGGAAGGAATAAAGGAATACACACCAGAGAGTGTGTGTGTGCGTGTGTGAGGGGGGGAGAGGAGGGAGGGAGGGATGGAGGTGGGGGAGGGGGGGGGGGGGGATTCAAGCGCAGCCGCCGGGAGGAAGTGAGATCATGTCACAGTGAAAGCAGTTGTCGGCTTTCTGCAGAAAAAGCTCTACTTCTACCGGAAAACATTGAAATAAAACACTGAAAGTAAAATAAAAATAGAAAGATACTTACAAATGCAAAGCAAGCAGATCAACAAGAGGGAGAGAGTGTGCAGAGGGAATAATACGGAATTAGTGACAAGAACCATTACAACAAGAAGCATCAATGCAATAATAAAGTAAATGTAGCACAAATGATCAGATTATTACAAGAAAACTGCTTCAATAAACACAAAAGTATGAATACTGGCATAATGCGTAGCTGCTGTCAGATTAACAAGAAAACACAAGTTAATGAGAGAAAACGTCACATTATTACGATGCATGTCCTCACCACTCCCAAAACACCCACAATCCTTTGCAAATTATGCATTTCCTGTCCCCTGATTTGGAAACAAGGAAAGTCTGCGAGTGAACTTTGAGTTATTTCACCTCAGCAGAGCTGAAACAAGTTAGGGAGAGATGTGATGAATACTGAGACAGGGTGAGGTAAAGAGGCGATCAGTGACATGAGTCGAGTTCATGAGGCCTGTGAGGGAGCTGCACCACCACTGGAACATCTGGTTCAGGCTGCACCGGCTCATTAATCCACCTCAGCTGCTCTCATTAGCGCCGAGCTGCACATCCTTCACAGAGACGTTTCTAATACTGAAGTATTCTGCAAACAATCTCCTGTCTCTACATGAACAATGTGTTTCATTTAGTAATCTACAATAATCAGGCTCCATGTTCACTGCAGAGAATCAACACAACATGCTTCTCATGTAATCTGTGAACAGATCAATAGGTCCATGTTGATTCACTGGAACTCTGTTTCATGTGATTGTAAATCAAGACAGAAGACGATTAACAGAGAAAATAAATGGCAGATAATACAAATACTTGCAGCCTCAGATTGTGGGATTTGTGAGAGTTAATAACGTAGATAGAGATATAATAAACGCTCCGCTTCACATTGAGGTCTGCTGCGTCTTATTTGACCCGGTCCACGGTGCTGCCTTCACTGCCTCCCAGATGTCAGGACAAATGAGCGAGGAGGGAGGAGGCCGACTTAGAGCGCCGAGAGGCGGCGCTGCACAGATCAATCCGTGCCTGTGACTCATCGGCTCCTGAAGGGCCCGAGAAAGTGCCGGGCAGCACGCCAGCATCCAGGCTTTGGTGCAGAAACCGTGGAAACACGACGTGGGCGGGATAAGCTCCTCTGCATTACTAACTTTTTAACCCTTTATTAGCCGGAGCACAGCCTCAGGACGCCGTTAACCAGGCTGAACGCTGTCGGGGCCCCGGGGACCTCAAACTACCCGATGTACTCCTGTTCTGTTACAGACCTTTAACCCGAGTTATTCTTTACGTCTGGCACCAAAGCCGGGACGATTAATCTGTGGATTCACTTCTTCATTGTAGTTTAGTCTGTAAAACGTCACAATAGTGAAAAATGCTATTACAGTATCACATTTCATCTCAATACACTGAGTAGTTTCTACTGATGTTGCTGTAGTTATGTATTTAGTACATGTTGGTGTTTATTTGATCATCATGTATTTAATGTTCTAGTTATTTAACTTTACTCATACTGTGAGGTAAACTGTGCTCACCTGTCTGTATCTGTATCTTTACTTTATATTCATTAATCTGACAGTTATTTTTATCATGAATCCATAAATCATCTGGATCTATTAAATGTCAATAAGTAAAAAGCAGTTTAGCTCAAACATTATTATTTGATTAATTAAACATACTCTCTGACTACAGCTGCTTGAATGTTAAAGAGAAGTGAATAAGTATATAATATAAATGTAACATAGTAGTAGCAGTAGTGTGTTCATTGGTTGTTGATGTTAACAGATCAGATCATTATTACAGACTGATAATCAATATCTAATTTGTTCCTCAGCAGCATCCAGCGTTCTCTTCTTTGTGGAGATGATTTAATCTGCTGAGTGGATATTTAACACAACGAGGCTTCACTGAAACTGAAATGAGCCTCCGGGGGAAACAAGATGTTGTTGACAGCCAGTCAGCTGAGCAAAGCCACCGTAAACATGGCCGACAGATAAAGCAAACTGTGTGTGAATGGAAACAAGTGGGACGACGTCGACCTGCTGGGGCAACGAGGCGTTTTATTACCGTGTGAGCTCTCTGAAGGGAAGAAGCACAGCTGCAAGAAGAACGAGAGTAAGCTGTGGGTAAAGACACTAACATCTCATAAATACTCTGCTCTACATGCTGGAGAAGAACGTAAGCATCATATGAGTCAACTAATGCTACAGTGACAAGGATGGGATCAAGTTATCAGTTTGTTATTGCAGATTCTTTCTCTAATTTAGTTAATTGACTGCTTGTTTTAGTCACAATCATTCATAAAAACACCATATTTGCTTGTTGCAGATGCATTCCCATGTCAGTGGTTCATCAACCTGTGTTAGTGATGTTATTTTCAGTCATTAAATGCTTTTAACCTGCGACCGATCGATCACCACAAGGACTCTTCTTCCTCACCTTCGCTATCAGCACTCACTAATTTCTCCTGTTGAACAAACAGTCACTCAATTACAGTCTTATCTGCTCAAACACATAATCACACTCCTCTGTCAGTAGACTCCTACTAATAGTCTCCAATTCACTCCGGTCTGTTGGCAGAATAGCAGCTGATTATATATCATATAATATATTAAATTAATGCACAGAGTTTCTTAACTTTTCTTGCATTCAGTTAAACCGAGACACATATGTATTGACATTTTAAAAAAGCAGAAGCAGCAGAAGCTGGTGGCAGGTTCATAATGCCTCAGTGAGTTTAACATGCTGGATGAAAGCAGGTCACGACATCTCGCTGGCTGCACCACGCATGCTTCAATTTGACCGTTTTCCTGGAGAAAAGTTGGATCAAATACCCTGCTCTCATATGCAATCAATAACACTGACACATTGCTGTGAATAATGTTAGAATAACGGAATCTAGTAAGAAGTAGCAGGCATGTCCGATAATGGAGCTAGGTAGACAAATGCCTCTACGTGGCTCGCTTTACGTTCCCGGAGATTTACGCTGAAGTAAATTCCGGTTTTTTCGGCCTAATCGTGGAGCTTAGCGGCTAACATCTGCCCAGGCCGGTTAACGGTACTCACTTCTCTGTCGCAGAGTCCTTGGAGGGTTCATTGTGGCCGTCACCTTTGGAGCAGAAGCCCCTGACGCCGTGTCTTCTGGTGAGGTGCTGCGGGGATAATGCTAAGTCATTAGCATATCTCCCATCAAACCTAACGGTGCTGAAGCAGGCGGAGGTCGCAGGTGTCGCGTGTGCACCGACTCTACCTGCCAACGGACGTCTCAGCTGCGTTTGAAATAACTCCTTGAGCGCCACCGTAGACCGAAAATGTAACATTTCAATCCCGAAGAGAAGAATATATCTATTTATATATATCTATAAAGTCGAGTGAAGAAATCTAGTTTCTAACGAGTGTCGGCTTTTCTCGGCCGAGTAACGGTTTTTTCTCGGTGACTCAACAGCGAACGCTCCTCTGTGGAGGACAACCTACCGTTCACGTGACAGCAGCTCTGATTGGAGTATGATAACGCGTAGCTACACCTGATTGGACAAGAGAGCTGTCACTCATCACCACAGTCTCACTTCCTGTTTAGACTGTATTTGATCAATCATCTCCATTAGATTCCACAGTTAATGGCCATTTTATAGCAAATATGAAAATATACATACTTTCATAATGTTTTTAAGTACAATTTCCCTCTTCATAAGAGTTTACATAAGACATGCTATAACCAAAGCAATCCTATATTAGAGTTTAGACAGGAAACATCATAAAAGTATATAACAGATCCTATTAAGAACTACAATAATATTATTTTAGTGGAATAAAAACGTCAAAAATAACAATTATCTCCAGAAATACAGAACATCTGTGGGCTATTATGGTAAAAAAAACATGCCAGTCCTTATGATGTCAGAATAAAATAAAGTGAAGTCATTATAAACCACCACTGAGCAGCACAGACGCCAGATCCATATTTGATATCTTGTCTTATTCTGACACCATGCGAGATAGTCAGGTACTGCACATATTCAGACTGTAGCGTTAAGACTTAGTTCTTAACTAATAATGCAGTGATTGCACCATCTGCTGGTTGGAAAATAGTTGAAATAAGTCCAACGGCACCAGGAACAGACAAATCAATAATAGATTATAAAAAAGATCCTAACATAACTGGCAGTGATCAGTTATAACATATTGTTTTATTACATGCATGTAGCTTTGTCTTTCTCTCTGGATATATTTCTAGATTTTCACATTTCTTGTACTACCTGCCCTTTCATATTGTCAGGTCATATTACTTTAATGTAACTAATAAATCAGATGTTTTCCGTCTGTATAAGACCTGAATCAAACAGCATTTTAATGTTTGTTTTGACCTCTTTTGCAGCCTAGGTGGGTGGAGTTTGACGCCACGTATAAATGAATGACCTACAACAGATATTACTCACTGGAAAGTCTTCTGTAAATTGCTTGACATTACTTCTCTGTGGCTCCCAACTTTTATCTGACTTTATCTGCATCTCGGTAAACTCCACCCACCTGGAGCTCCAAGAAGGATAAAACAAACAAAGTCATGCTGACTAATAATGCCTCCTTTGGAACATGAAACATTCATGAAGTTTGGCTAAATAAACCGACAGGAACTCAAACTCTGCGGCTCAAATTTCCATGTAATTAGGTCAAGAATAAAGGGCAACTCCAACAAAGTGTTCTTGTTATTTTACAGGAATCCACAATTCATATCATTAAAAAAAATCCCTCTTTTTTCTGCAGTTACTGAATGAGCTTCACAGCTCGATCATCAGCCTGGTTGTTGCATGTGGACCATGAAGAAATGTGTTTCCCACCATAGGTTGAACTAGAACTGGAGACGAGTCAAAGTATTCAACATCTTAGAATATGTACAATAATATTCATAACATGTTATGCATGTTGTGTTATAATGGCAGAATCACATCAAATATGTATGTTGGTGTAATTACATAGATTTTTACTTTTTGCAATAGTCTCAAAAGAGACACAGATGCATGAACAGTGATCTCCATATCCACCTTAGCCTTAAAAACTATTTATTCCTCCAGTTTAAATGAGCCTTTTCTGTCCCTTAACGTCTCATGTTCATGTCTTGAGATACATTTAGTGCACTGAACAGAAAGGTGTGATGATCAAACCAACAGCACAAAGTTTAAAATCCTCCACGAGCAGCTGCATTTTCTCGGCATGCAAGAAAACAAAGGAAAAGGAAGGAACGAGGGAGACAAACAAGGCGAGATCCCTAACGAAGCTGCAGGGAGGAGAGAGAGGCGATAATTCACCAACAACACCCACACCTTCTCAAAAGCAGTCAGCTTCCTGCTCCCTTCAACAACAACAAAAACGAGGGTGATGGGTGCGCTCGGCAGATCCCTCCCACGCTGCTTAGCGGCTGGCTTCCGCCCACCGCCCGTGGAGGCGCCCACCTCCAGCCGTTGCCACGGCAACACATCATCACCATCATCATCATCATCATCAGTGACTTGCACTGGAGGAGGAGGAAGAGGAAGAGGAAGAGGAGGAGGAGGGGTGGCCGTTTGATACCAGCATGGGTGTTCGTGAGCTGAGCTTTTCTCCAGAGAAAATCTGTCTGTGTGTGCGTGTGTGTGTGTGTGCGTGTGTGTGTGTGAGAGTGTGTGTGTGTGTGTGAAGGGATGGAGGGAGTGGAGAGGATGATGGGAAGTATGTGAAAAAGGATCTGCGTCACAGTGAGTCATCAGTCAGTTTCACAATGTGTTGATGTGACGCTGATGCAAATGGACCTGAGCAGGGATTCATGTCAGCGCAACAACAAACAAAAAGAGACACGAAGAAGACAGAAGCTCCTCTAAAGGAAGCCCATAACTCTCTCTTCTTCTCTTGGACCACCAGCTCTTTTACAACAGCTCCACACACACAAAGAAGCCGGGGCTTCCCTGCCTTGCTCAAAGGACGCGTGGTGCTTCCAGCTTCACTCACAGCAAGATCACAGAACGCACCTCACAATAGAGTTCAAAAAAATAAAGTTTAATGTTCATGTGCGGTATAACAAATAAAATATATTAGTGTTTAAAAAACAGGTGCATAACTAGGTGAAGCCTAATCTATCACGTTACAATAAACAGTGAGGAGAACGGTGATCAGTGAGAAACATCGTACGGTCACGATAACTCGACGGCTTCATCTCCCAAAATGCACCAGCTGGTTTTTAAGCTTTAGCAAACTAGATCCCCAACTTTCGTTCTTGAAGCAAAACAAACCTCATGGAAAGAGCAAAAAATGTTTTTTAAATACAAATACAGTGCCCTGCGAACACAAAACACTTCCCACGCTGGAGTTCATGACCGACACACAGTTACACGACAAAATGATGGATCTATATAGAATGCAAATAGACTTATTACTTACATAAATATTGCATTGGTCTGCCGATACGCTGAGTGAGACTAAACTATATGCAGGGAGACCAAATTATCTGGACGGTATTATCATCTTGGACCAAACGGACGTATTTACACAGTGTGGGGAACACATAAACAACACAGTGAACACTTATTAATGTATCTACCTCTAAACAGCAAAAACACGTCTTTGAAATATGCACTGATGGCCATCACAGGCGGATTAAACACTGTTAAGAGCTAAGGCTAATCAACATCATCATCATGTAAAGCAGGGTTTTATATCTTTCACACTGCTCTATTTTTTCTGTATTTGCTCTACATACATAAACACTATTGACACCAAAGATCTACAGCAAAGTTACATTTGACAAAGGAAACCCTGGTGGAGAGATTAGGCTAGCACTACTTGTTATCACGGTACTATTTACAGACACCAGGCTGCAAGAAACAGGATTTCAGCTTCTTTTCTTTTTTTTGGGAGGGCTGTTCTCGTAAAACCACAAATCTGCAATCTTTTCCATTTGATTCTGTTGAAAGTTTCCGTACTGAGTGGATTTCCTGCTGAAAGCTTGTTGGATCATTTCTAATAAAAACAAAGATCTATTCCTGAAATACTCCGTTTGCAGGCGTGTGGTTCAACAGCAGCGTTTAGCTAAATCACAAAGTGAAATGAAGCAATTAGCTCGGCCTCCCAGCCGTCCTACCATGACAGAGGTCCCCTGCTGTTACTTTACAACAGCTCCTCTACATCCTCTTCTTAAATTACCTTCCATAAATATACACAAGACAGGAGCGAGGAAGGGAGGGTTAATCCCACCGCTCCTGTTTTTTCCCATTTGAAGTGAACGACACAGAATCTAACGGGGCTGAATCCTGACTCACTCTCCCTACAGTACTTTGTTTCTGAGTTACAGTACAAATGCAGACACCCAAGTTAGATTTGGGAGAATGACGGAGGCTCAGGAGACGACCAGAGACAATAAGCCACCGGCCGGATGCTGCTAAATCTTTGGCTATTGCTGGTAAGATCTTCTTATTGTCGACGTCTGTGAGTTAAGTGTGAATTTCTGGCTACAGACAATTAGCCATAAATCTCAAAGTTAGGTAACGCTTTGTATGTCTACCATTATTATTTTGTTCTGACGTAGTCATATATGTAGTTTGTCTTACAATTCATCTACAATGTGTTGATTAAATATTCATTATGACTGCCTTAATGATGTACTATGACGCATAAGGCCCCAAAATACCTGTGATTATAAGTGATGTTTCCCACGGTCAGCGTCTGTTTGAACACTGAGGCCGATGGGAATGTCTTTACTTTTGCAGGTATTTGGTCGTAAACTAAAGTATTGGACAGATACGTTTTCCGATTTTTTATCAAATATCAAATTTCGTGCCAATCTATTCCATAGTTGAGGAGATATTTCACTCGTTCATTTTAAACACATGTATGTGGTGGTACATAAATAGTCTGAGGCTCACCGTACCAAACTTCATGAAAAGCCATCTAATATTCATCAGATTTAGGTCATTGCCAACTTTAAATTCAGCATCTGAAGCTTCAGTTTTAAGGTACAAGTGAGTGAAGAAGGCCATTGGCTACATGGTAGTCATATAAAGTGTTACCATGATGCTGAAGACGTGCAGCAACTGCTTTTATCTCATCTCTGAATCTACGCCTGAGTCAAGACTCAGCCCCGGAAACACAGCCTGCAACAAATATAATAACACCCAGGCCGAGGTAAAGAGTACACAAACACATCGCTCTTAAAGTACATGTACGTCTAACATGTACAGTTAATCAACAGACAAAGACCTGCAGAGCACTGAGGGGCTTCTCCACATGCTCTCTAGGTGCTTTGGCAAATACCTTTGAAACAGAAAGACAAAATCAAAGAAAAATAAATGCTATTCATGAGGCAACATTGGTTGTTAAGGCTCTACTGTGTCTGTGCTTGCTTAGTATCTATTGACGGGTAATAACTGCATACTGTCAAGTGTGAGTAGAATGGTTTGGGGGGTGTCGTGGGGCGAGGCGGGAGGCACTATGTGGAGTCTTCCGGCTCTGATTTGATGGTCTTCTTCTCCGCGTTGCTGGACGTTCGCTGCGACGTCCCGTTTTCTGAAGACAGAGATAAAGGACGACATCGTCAGCAAAGAGGTTTATAATGCAGCAGAACGCCTCGTTGAAGAGTCGCAAAGCAGCAACAGCAGAACACATTTAAAGGGGTGCATTGTCAGATTGTGTTGTTTACAAGTACACTAACGTCACCAACCTGTTGCTGGTGTTTTGGTCTCGTCTGTGCTGCTGCTGTTGTTGTTGTTGTTGTTGTTGTTGTGGTTGTGATGGCGCTTCAGTTCATTGGCTAGCTGTTTGCCCAACGGGAGGTCGCCTTCCTGCATGTTCTGACTGACCACACGCAAGTTGATCGGCCGCTCGTCTGAGAGCACAGAAGAAGACAGAAACACAAAAGACAAGCAGAGTTATTCACCGGCAGTGTAGCATTTGACCAATCAATGTATATTTAATGCATTGATTATCAATCAGAAGCAGACTGAAGTGAATCCAAAGCAGAAATCAGGCCAGACGCTGTTCTGACACTGAATTTAAATGTATTGATTTGGTTTGATGTCATATACGATAAATAAGAGCATCAAATCCTCATGTTTGAAGCTGTAAGTGCTTGTTTGACAGTTTCTCTTAATAATTAATTCATATTAATTAATCAGCTAATTGTTGCAGCTCAACACCTGAGTAAAATATCTAGTGGCTCTGTATTATTATTTATATTTTTGACATACAATGGCCCTGATACGCTGTTGTGCATAACATAATGTGCCTGAAAAGTATAGTTTATATAAAGTATGGTTTGGTGGAGAGAATATGAAAAAGAAAAGAAGGAAATGGAGACTACGGGAGACATATACACAGAAAAATAGTGTGGGAAAGGAGGGGGGTGAGGACAGGCAGAGGACAAGAAGTAGAAGAAAAGAAATGACAGGAAGCAAAAAAGAAAATGGACAAGAAGAAGAAAACAGGAAGGAAAGCAGAGAAGAAGAGGGGGAGGAGAGAGAGAGAGAGGTAGACACAGAAAGAGAGAGAGAGACGCCCCCCTCCAGGCAACTGGCTGGAGCTAAACAGGTGTGGGCGTGATAATTACAGGTGCATTGTGGGATTTGTGGGAACAGCGATATAATGAGCTGTCGGGAGTGGGTGAGGGAGGAAAAGGATGAAAATGAGATTAGGCCTGGAGGAGGAGGAGGAGGATCCTGAATAATGATGCTTCTTCTTCTTCTGTGTTGGAGATGAAAAAGTGACGGCTCCTCACAGCCACGAACATATCGAGAGGCTTTGATGACATGAAATACTCTTCAGTCTGTTTCCTACAACAGCAGCTGGATGTGTTCTCTTGGTTGGACACTAGGGGCAGCACTGAGCCAGTCACAACCTTTTTGGGGGGATTAACGTGTTGTTTCTAGAGTTATAAATCAGATATTTTTACTCAGACAGGAATTGTGAAAATAGATCGAAGAGCGGAAGTGAGGATCACTTATTCACTCATAGTTCGCTACAGGAAACGTTCAAATTACAAACTCACTGGGAGTAATTGTTTACTCGTTATGTCTATTAAATATTAAAAAAGTTCCTCATCTTCACATTTCTTTATTGTTAGAAATAACAGTACAAAAGCTCCTAAACTGAATGAAGATGAAACCAGAGACTGTAACAACTCAACAGCATCTTTTAATCTAGCAGGAAATCCTTAAAAACGTCATAAATATAAATGTTAGTGGAAACAATACAAGAAACTAAGTAAAAGGACTTTTTTTAATAGGATTTTTCGATTTTCCATATTTCCCCATGAAGTACAGATAAGTTATGTGAAATGTTTCTCTATGTGTCTCTCAGCTCCAGACTCATTGGCTCCTACTGAAGACACCTCCAACATATTTATTTTCATGATATAAAAAGGCAGAGAGCCGATATCTGATTCCGTACGGAACCAACAGCTGTTTTTGATGGTGAAATGCTTCACACACCTCCGTTCGTACCTTGGTTGTCTCTGCTGGCGTCGGCGGCGGCTCCGTTGGTGTTCTGGGCGTCGTTGAGGTACTTTAAGGCGGCGGGGGGGATCCTCCAGTCCAGAGCCTGGAGTCGCTCCTGGACGGCGGCGTCCTGCAGGATCTCCATCTGCCGGGCCAGCAGACGCTCCAGCTGCATCTGATGCACACAAAGAATGTATAATAAGAGTGACAGGAGTCTTTACTGTCTCAGGACCAAATCTAGATGCTCTGACTCGAGTCGGACGTGTGATCGTCTCGATATCTGGTTGATTTATTCACGTCACAAGTCAAGAGAACCACTGAACAGCGTTTTATTCTCCATGTTCTAAACTAAATAACATCTATTAGTTAAGACGCTTCCTACTAAATAAAAGACATATAATGAAGTCGTCCTTTCAATCCTTACAAAGAAACCGAAGCACAACTCCATCAGTCACTGAGCATTAACACGGAGGACGGATGAAGTCCGATCAACAGTTGACACCTCACTTTCCTTCTCATTGTCAGTCTGCACACCGCTGTCAGCTCACATTATTATGGGATGTGCTCCACATGCTCACAGACGGCCTGCAGTGTGAACGCAGCCATGAAATCTCTTCTTCTTCTTCTCCTCACATCAACATGACAAGCGTAGCTGCAGACTGATGGACCAGCGTATGCTCACATGTTCTCTTGGTAATGAGTTATCATAAAGCTCTCCTCCTACACTCCGGCTCTAATTAGGAACAAGCCACAGCAGCACCGAGGCACTGGAAACCAATAAAGAGCATTACTGGGATCAGGCTGGATCCTGCTGCCACAACCATCTGCTGACATCATCTGTCTGTTGCTGGGAACCCTTTCAGCCCGGCTGATGACGAACTGTTTCAGCAATTCATCTCCGATCTTCACATTTCCTTTTCTTAATTCAGCTTTTCTTAAATCGTGCACTGTGACTGGAGGAGAGGCCATCTACGAGGGCTTGTGACATCACAATACTAACTTCATTTATGGAGGAAAACAAAGAATTCTTGAGTTTCTCGTTTAACGAAATCCTCCAGCAGCCGTATCGATCAAACATTTTAATATATCCGTCTGGTTACCTGCAGGTTTCGTCCGACGGTTTCTTCTCCTTTCGACTTGGCGCAGGCCAGCTGCTCCCTCAGCATCTCCTGCCTCATGTGGATGGCCTGCAGCGCCTCCTGGATGTCGAAGAAGTTCTCCTGAAGAAAGAAGTTCTGATTAGTGGTTTGTTTTTCACTTATTTATCACAAGAGACGCAGATTTTAGGTCAGATTTTAGGGACATTGCTACCACATTAGGGCGAGTTTTCTTTCTGGCTTGTTCTGATGTTATTTTCCTAAAGATTCTGGTATTGTGAAGGAAGCACAAATCATCATCTATTGGTTAGTGTCTTTATCATTATTTAATACATATTAATATATTTGTTATAATTAATGTTAACTATGGATTCTGCATCATTCTGTACGTCTTTATCTCAAAATAATTTACTTGAAATCAAATTCTCTCTCTTAAGGTGCCTTAATTTAACTTTATTACGGTCAGATTAAATTATTAATCCATGCGTATATTTATAATACACATCATTTTCTCCTTTTGTATCTGTTTGAAAAGCTTTCATAATTACTATTTTAAAAAGTATTAGATAAATAAATACTATCAAGTACAAACACGAGTATTACATCGTCTACTTCTCATTATTAAAACGTTTTATCATCAATGCAACAATCATAACCCCTATATTTCCTTTGATAATGAAACTAAACAAAGTGGAACTTTTGGGAGTTTTTCAGTGAATTTGGCAGGACTCCCCCCCCCACTGGGAGCTCAGAGTAGTCAGTGAGCAGGTGTCGGCTCTTTGTCTCTGTGTAAATCCCTGCAGAGCTCCTCAGCCGCCACATGTTTCCAATCACCGGCTCACAAAGTGAGAGGAGCCATTCAGAGCAGAGAGAGCGTCCGGAGATGATCGCTGACAGAGCGCTTTGTTACTGCTGTGTCCTCTCTGATAGATAAATACTTCACACTGAAGATGTTGAAGATGAACCAACGAGCCAACATTTCTTATTACAAACAGCCAAATGAGACGTGTTAGAGAGCCTCCATCACGCATGTTTTTAAATCACGTGTCGAGCGCAGGAAATCTCCTCATGAGGAGGCTTTGTTGGAACACAGAAGAAGAAGAACTGGACGTGCAGCATCAGCAGGAAGTGCCACTATGGCTGAAAAAGTGTGTTTCTCATTATTTCAAGATGAAAACATATTTTGACTTTATGGATCTTAATCTGAGATTTAAGGGGAGATGAATGTGAATGAAAACAACACTGCATGCTATCTAACACATATATAAAGAGACTACACTTCTTCATTTCAGTGAGAAAAGCCTTTAATCTGACTGCTGTGATGACCTCACCTCTGTTTTAATCCTTTTAGGGGACGCCTCGTCTCTGTCTCCACAGCGAAACCTGCACAGAAACATCAGGAAAACACGAAACATGTTTCATTCTTCAACAGACAAAGACCAGAATGTTACTCCAACATAAAAGCTGACGTATTTATTAATAAATCTCAAACCAGAAGGAAACATTTCAGACTTTCTTCCCTGGAAACTGTTAAAGTTGCCCATGTGAAATAGAATAGAGATGAAAGCAGAGTTACTCACTTGCTGGTGCGATAGGTGTATTTGTACGTGACCTCTCTGGAAATCTGCCGGGCGAGTCCGAAGAGCTCGTCTCTCCGTGTGAGCAGAGCCGTGTCCCTCATACAGAGCTGGGCCGCCGCCTCGTTCACCGTCAGCTGCACACACAAACAGAACAACACGTAAACCTCAACGATCCCTGCGCGCTGATTGGTTCGTGTGAAGTGATGTTCTCGTGGTGGACGACCTCGTGCAGCGTCAGGTGTTTGCCGTCCCTCCTCTTGGAGTCGAAGCGTCCGTAGATGGCGCTGTATTTACGAATCTCCTCTTCCCTCCGCGGCTCGTCGTCGCTCATTTCGAAGATGTGTCCGATCATCTTTGCCAGTTTCTTGTTGTTCTTCAGCTGCTCTTTGACCTCGGATAAGTCCGTCTTAGGAAGTCCCGGCGCCATCCTGTCCACGCACTCGAGGACCGACTGGACGGCCGCGGCGTCCAGAGCCTCTAACGTGTCTCTGGGCGAGGACGGCGAGCCGAGGTCCGACGGCGACAGGCTGTGCTCGCTGTCGTTGCTGTGGCCCGACCAGAACCGAGCCTCGCTGCCGCCCTGCAGGGGCGACCCGGCCGACACTTTGTCCCGCGCCACGTCCAGCTTCCCCGGGTCTGAGCAGGCGGCGGCGACGGCTTTGGGCATCTTGACGCTGGCCGTGTTGGCTCTGTCCTGCGCGCTGAGCAGCGTGGGCGAGCCCTCGGGCAGCTTGTAGACGGGGATGCTGCAGACGGGCAGCGACGTGAGCGGCTGGTTGAAGATGGCCGGGTTGGTGACCCAGTCCCGCAGCGCCTTCTGCAGGCGGCGCACGTGCAGCGGCTTGCTGGCCATGCCGACGAGGGCCATGATCTCCAGGAACTCCTCCTCCCCGGCCTCGCACAGCTGCTGCACGTCGTCGCCGCCCTGCTGGATGAAGGCCTCGTAGTAGTAGAGCAGGTTCGCCCGCTGCAGGATCCGGTAGAGCTGCAGCTCACCCAGGGTCCTCGGCAACACCGCCGCCATACCTGAGGGCAGGACACACACAAAGGTTAATCACACCTCAGCTCTACAGAAGATGGGTCATCTAAAGCTCGTCAGACATTTAGGACGAGAAGATCAGAGCACAGAGACTGGAAATAAACACATTTTAAATCAAGAATGACGTCTGATTCTGCACCAGAGTACACGGACATGGAGGCACATTATTTCTATGCAACGTGACTTATATTTGGACTGATATTTTTAGCAGGTGCATGATTGCAGTTTATCAGGTCTCAGCAGGTGCGTGAAGAGGTTTGATTTGATGAAGAATGCCATGAATGCCGTACATTTCTGGATGAATGGTCCCGGTAGGAACCTGCTCAGTAATCGACATCCTTTCAGGTGAAACACGCTTCATGTGTGGGATAAACACACGACACACGGTGTAGGTGCATGGGTTAAAGAGCATCAGGCTCATTTCATACTTATTATTATAATACTTGTTTACTCATGTTGAATGCCATATATCCTGCTTGAATGCACTGAGGATGCTGCACACATGGTATTCTTAATCTCCTGTTAGCTCTATGTGCGTCTCTACACGCATCGGGGCAGAATGAACTTTTTCTGGGTGACATGTTTGGCTGTCAGATTAGTATTTATTCCTCGCTGTCGTTCTCTCCGCCTCTCTTAACAAAGCCACCACAACACGGTGACAAATTCTTGTCGCCTGCCACCTTTAATTTGAGAAAAAAGCAGAAAGTGGAGGCTTGTCCTCGACTCTTCCTTTGTGCATGTGAGGCCCTGCGGAGGCCGGGCTCACAGAGGAGTGGCAGTCAGCAGACCCGGGTTGCTGGGAGGACCACATGCCTCTCTCCACCCCTGCAGGATGTGTAGGTGGTGGGCTCGCCTCGCCCAGAATAGAGCCAGAGAGCCAGAGAGCCAGGCGGGCCTCGGCCGAGTCGGGAAAATGACAACTGCTGTCTGAGCGAGGCCGCTGACTAAAACTAGATATTACTCCGACTACTTCTGCTAATTCACCAACCTGCTGGCCTTCCAGTGTGGATTCATGTCTAAAGATCAACAAACAAAACGATCCAGAAACCGAAAATAAATGAAAACACATCTGGAATACAGCAAAGATGGCAACTCACCTATTTTATCCTCTTTTTAAGCTATTAATTTATTCAAACTGCCGACTCAAATCAGTTAAACTCCAAAACATAAAATAAATAGCACCGCTGAGATGAACCAACATTAAAGCTGCACATGGAATCCTTGTTCTCATGTTTATAACGGTCTAAAAACTAAGAAATAAGAAGAACCAGATCCAGAAACACTTGCAGAGTTTCCATCTACATCACCTGCGTCAACACACCAGAGTGAGCTCTGTGAAATACAGCTGTGGGAAAACATCATCACGCAAGAGGAGGAAGTTCAATGAGGCGTCGATGGAAAACCTGATTCAACTTATCGCCTCAATTATGACAAGGTCATTAAAGCTCCTGAAAACACGTTGAGCACTCAAATAAAGAGATGAAACGAAAAATCTAAAATATTTAAGAACTGATTTCACACTTTGGGTTGTTTATGACTCAGAACCTCTTGATTTGAGTTAAAAGAAATATTTGATTCTTAAAGTAAAGTATACAAACGCACATGTTACACTAATCAAAGATGGTATATGAAGCGGCGGAAGAAGTATTCAGATCATTTACACACGCGGGGAAAATACTCCATTGCAAGTAAAAGTACTCCAATGAAAATATTTTAAGTATATCAGCAAATGTACTTCAAGTAAAAGTACTCACAAAGTCGTATAATGTATTATTGTATTATTATTGATGCAATCAGTTGTTGATTAGTAACTCGTTTTAAACTGTTTTATATACTCTTGGGTAGTTTGACTTATAATAAAAATGTGTAAAACATGAAGTATTTATTTATGTAACGTAACTAAAGCTGTCATAGTAAATGTAGTGACGTTTCCACCACTGTGTGTATCTCTGAGACTAGTTCTGAATGAAGGTTGATAACACGAGTTATCTGTTCTTCTTACTAACATTTAAACTCAAAGGTTGTGAAACGCCTGAAACATTCGTACAGAGTTGACTGATTACGTCTCGAGGTAAAAGTTGGAGCTAATCGATTAATCGGCAAATATTCTGACTGGTTTAGTCATTTAGCAGAAATGCAGAATATTCTCGGCTTTTGGCTTCTTAAAAATGAGGATTTTAAGCTTTTTTTTACATATATTATAGTGAACTGAATGTATTTGTGTTTTGGACTGTTGGAAAGAGGAAATAAGAGAATACAATTCAATATTTTCGGACAATTCATGGACAAAACAATGAAAGTACTTGTTAGCCGCAGCCCTGAGTACAATCATGCAGCAAACAGAGGTTGCTTCTTTTGTCATGGGAGGTGATTGCTGCTGCTTTTTCACAAGCGTGTGAATTGAATAACTATATTTAGCTGCAGTGTGAACTCCTGAGTGTGCAGCAGCTAAACTGAAGAAGAATGAAACAGTTTCTACAAACAGAGACGAGATTCTACTTCACTGAGAAAACAGCTTCAAGAACGACATCGGGAGTGTTTCAGTTCAACAGCCGTCTGCACAAACACTCGGATATCTAACATCTTACTCCAGTTTATCACAGCAGACGTGTGTGTGTGAGTGTGTGTGTGAGTGTGAGTGTGTGTGTGAGTGTGTGTGAGTGTGTGTTCTGGCAGTAATAGGTGGCTGTGAATGGCAGACTTCTAATTGAAGTCCTGCTTCACAAAAGCCAGTTAGGCGAGTTCAGCTTTTCACCTGGAAAAGAGAGGCGTGTGCCGGCACAATGTCGCACGCGCACACACACACACACACACACACACACACACACACACACTCACACGGGCTGGTGTGTAGTTTTCCAGGTGAACTGCCACGCAGCAGACCCGGCTTATCTACAGTGAGGAATGCTTTGATTTCACATGATTCTGAAGGAATTTCTTTTGCAATTTCTCAACGTGGAGCAATAATGTTGTCATCATCACTTTGACCTGGTGTGTTCATACGTGTGTGTGTGTGTGTGTGTCCTCGAAAGCATCTCAACATCTTTTTGTGTTAAAGACGGCTCTACAGCAGATAATAAATATAAAGGACACAAGCAGCACGACAACGACACCAAAGCTTTTTAAATGGCAAATCACATCATAATTCCGATAATATTTCGATAATAATTTGTCTATGGGGCTCAGCAGTGAGTCTACAAAGACCCAAGTCAGCTTTCATGGCACTTTAACTCCTATTATATCCACAAGATATTCATAATGCACAGGAGAGGAAATGATTGTGCTTTAACTCTACTTCTATAGAATTCAGTTTGAGCTATTTTTAACTCCCTATAATAAGATCTCTTAATCATCCAGGCATGTGTATGGTGCTCTGTTTTATCTCAATACACTATCTACAGACATCCTATGATACATCTCCTACAGTATTCCTGTAATAACTGGCGGTTACTTGCTGCAATATGACAGAATTATGAAGTAAAGCCTCAGCAGCAGGATTAAAGCCATGTTTAATTGTTCCTACCTGGAGAGTTGTTGGCCCCTTTTGGTCCTTCCTGGTCCGGTTCTTCTTCTTCCTCTTCTTCCTCACTGTTTATCAACACACAGGGTGTGAATGTGTGCAGAGAGAGAAAGCGCGCACAGAAGGGATCCCCCGTGCGCGTAAAATCAAAGATAATCTAAGAAAAGGCAAGAAATTGGAAAATTATTCCAAAAAAAGAAGCCGGAGAGCGCGTGCTTGTCTCTGCGTGCTCAAACGGAGCGACACTCGTCTCCTCTTCGTCTCCTTCTGGAAACTTTTTCTTTCTGCTGCCGCTGAGAGAGAGAGAAAGAGAGGGAGGGCGAGAGAGAGAAAGAGAGAAAAGCGCAGAATATCAGTAAAAAAAAAAAAGCCGCTGACCTTCGTGCGTCTTTTTGTGCGTCTTTTTCCTCCAAGTGTGTGAGTGTGTGTGTGAGTGTGAGTGTGTGAGTGTTTGAGTCTCTCTCCACTCCCCTGCACTGTTCACCACTGTCAAGACACATACAGTCACACACACACACACACTTCCGGCTGCAGTGAAGAAATAAAAGCACAGCTGATGAGCGCGTGTTGGAGGCTTCAATCCTCAAAATAAAAAAGTGTATTGTTGTGCCAAATATACTCAAATATGATCATCTTTATGATGTGATTTTTTTTCCTGCAGATTCCACACAAACATGTATTTTTACTGACGTTTGCTACTTTATTTGATGTGGAAGAAGTATTCACATATTTTAGTAAAGGTAGCAACAACTCTACTACGAGTGAAAGTACATTAAAGATCGTAATGAAGTAGAAGTAAAACAAGTATTGCATTTCAGAGATAAATCTTATATTGTTGTCTGCACTACATTTATCTTACATTACATATTACAACTTTATAAATAAAAAGGTGAACAATGTATAAAATACGAATCATTAAACTTAAACACATAAAGTAGTTAAAATGTGCAATAATATAACGCTGTGAAAGGGACCAAAGCACTTTACTTTAAGTACTTTGAGTACTGTTAATAATGTTGCACTTTTACTGGAATGTAAGACTTTTACTTTGAATTTTCGTTTGTTTCTAATTGTGTTGCATCATTGATGAAGATAACAAAACATGATATTGCTCTGCTTCTTTTTCATAAAATGTCAAAAGACATAGAAAGAACAATAATGAATAAAAGTAAACAAATAACAAACACCATTCAAGATAAATAAATATAATAATTATGATGTTTACAGAGCTGTATTGCTATTTTGGCTTAAGTTAAAGTACTTCTTCTTTTACCAAACCAGATCACATTTTAGAAGCTTTTATTTTGTCAACACTTCCGGTCTTTGTTGCGCTCTAACTGCAGGCAGCTTCACGCGGGCCGCAGAATAATAAAGTGGGATATTCCGCGCGGTTGCCACAGAGCCTCTCTCTCTCTCTCTCTCTCGCCCACGCTGCTCCCTGCGTGACGCAAATCCGCGCGTGGGTGGACACACGGGGCGTGGGAGGCTTTCTGCACGGAATACCAAACACAGGCAGGTTCGACACCCACAGAGACGCAGCAGTTTGTACACTTCGTCTTCTCAAACTAAATTAATACGATGGAGACGATTTCATCCTCAACTGTAAATACTGTCAAAATCAATAGTCAATACATTCAGCTTAGATACTGTCTATAAATATATATATATATATATATATATATATATATATATATATATATGTATACTTTAATAAATATACAATGACAGCATGAGGACACATTTTACATCTATAAATTGTTTGTATGTATATATGTACAATGCGTACAACATGTACATTTTGTAGTATATTCATATCTATAAATATTGCACAAGCCTATATTTTTACATTTACACTGCCTGTAAAATGACAATATTATATCTATAAATATAGTATATATGTATATGTCTTATTTATGTACATTTTCTATATGTAAAGTTTGCATGTGTGTATAATTGTACATACTGTACAAATGTTTCTTTATGTTTATACACATATTTAAATATATATATGTGTAGATATATAAGTATTATTATGTGTCATCTTTTTATGTTTATGTGACATTTTCAAAATAAAATATATTCAAAATGTATTGAAGGTACTTTTCAGCTTCTTCAGGCCAAAAAGTTCTCACATGTCTCATACAATGAATGTATGAGTAGTCCTTCACAGTAACCCCACTGACTGATATCTATACGAGTAGCTTTTAGTCACGTGTGAGTGAAGTTCACAAGTGCGTCAATGAAACAGTCCTTTATGCAAATGAGCAATTCACATGTGAGTCATGTGACCAGATGGTTTCCAACACTGGGAAGAGGAAGTTCACGTCAATGGTACTGCTTTGTTTGTATGTATATACACACACACACACACACATATATATATATATATATATATATATATATATATATATATATATATATATATGTGTGTGTGTATATACAACCACTAATATTGCAACTACTAGTACTACTGCTACTACTAGTATTACTGTTATTAATAGTACTACTGCTACTACTTGTACTAACCTTACAACTACTACTAATGCTACTATTACTGCCACTACTGTTGTCTAAATACTACTATTGATACTTCTAGTATTGTTCAAAAACTGCTGCTATTACTTGTAAAGACCCTACTAATACTTCTTCAACTACTACTGATGCTACTATTACTGCTACTATTGTTACTTATAAAATATTACTGCTGCTATTACTTGTACTTAACTTACTAATACTTCTTCAACTACTACTGATACTACTGTTACTTATAAATACTACTGTTACTCATTCTACAACAACTACTTCTTCTTCTTCTTCTTCTTCTACTGCTAGTAGCCCCAGTACAGCTCAGTCTAAGACAAGTAAAATACATAAATACTGTACATATATATTACTGCTACTACCTCCTCAACTACTGATACAAATAGTAGTGAAATCACTAGTACTAATACTAGTATACCTCTTTAATTACTACAACGTATACCACTGTACTATGAAGTAGATTTCACACGTAAACAGCAGAGAAAGCTTCTCTTCGTGAATCATCAGCTTCATAAGTAACCACCAGTGAAAGGTCAGAGGTGACGGCGTGCATGACGCAGAGACGTAAAACATAACTGGAGAAACAAATACTGCGTGTAGTACTTTGTGAAACTTTAATATTTGCCTGCAAGACGAAGCCCAGAGAAGCGCTCGGCGCTCGAATCTCCACCAGATCACTTTGACTCCGCCTGATTCCCCATCAATGAGCTATTTTGGGGAATTAGGCCACCAGTGTAACACCCTGGGGACGACACCAGAACGGCTTTCTGTCAAACACCCCCCCATCACCCCCCCACCTCCACCACCCTGCACACAGCAGCCAAAAAAGTAAAATAAAACAATTTACACGCAACGCTGCAGCTCCTCCTTTATGTCTTCAAAAGTCCAAATGATGAGAAAACTAGTATTTGTACTCTGTGTGTGTGTGTGTGTGTGTGGGGGGGGGGGGGGGGGGGGACAAGTGGGACTGCTTGCTTTTCAGATCCTCTAATTAAATTCAGAAGGAAACTAAAACAAATATCAAAGCAAAACTGCAGATTAGGCTGAAAACATCCGACAGGAATATTAAGCTGATTCCAAAATGTTTAATAACCACAAAACCTGAGCTGAATGTTGTTTTTGTACATAAACTAATAAAGTGTAGGAATATTACAGCGTTCATAGGACTGTAACGATATAAATATGATGTTAAACACTTTAAAGGAATAGTTCAAAATGTTGGGAAATACGCTTAAATACTGAGGATTACACGGGAAGATCGATAACACTCGATACCGCCAGCAGCAGGTTAGCTTAGCTTAGCACAAAGACTGGAAACAGGGGGAAGCAGCTAGCGTGGCCCTAAAACCACAACTTCTTGTTCTTACACTTTAGTTTTTATGAAACAAACAATAAATAAACATAATAATTAGAGCGATGAAGAGAGGCCGGTTGGATTTTGTAACAGCTGGACAGGCTAGCTGTTTTCCTCTGTTTCCAGTCTTTGTGCTAAGCTAAGCTAGTGTTGGTGTTAGCTTTATATTTACGTACATAAAATAACTTTAATGCGTGAAGAGCAACTTGATCGTTGAATTTCTTACTGAATTTACATTTTGATAAACTAACAAATTATTGTATTCAAACGATAATCACAAATTCAAAGAAAAGAGGATATCACTGTAGTGTACATATGTTTGAATAGAAAACCAGTTTCTACAGAACAGTCAGACGGTTGAAAGCTCAGGAAAAGGTCAAACATATTATTTTGTCACGGCTCGTGAGTCAAGAAAGAAGGCTTATGCAAATGCTTCTGATAAGTTTACCAAACTGAGGTCGGCAGGTAGGATTCCTGACCGCCCACCTTCAGCCTCTAAATCCACGTCTGGCTGCTCTCTGTGTGTGTGTGTGTGTGTGTGTGTGGGTGTGTGTGTGTGTGTGCGTGTGTGTGTGTGATGCAGATATGACCTTCTGACGGCGTTCCCATGGATCAGCCTCCGAGCAGACGGGGATCAAATCAAACACTGAAAGAAACGGAAAGGAGAGGGAATATCAGCTCCATATCTCTCTCTCTCTCTTCTGACCTCCCTCCCTCCCTCCCTCACACACACACACACACACACACACACACACACTCAATATCTAACAAGAAGAACCAAACAAGAACAAATTAAAATGAGAGCGCCGGGAGGAAATAGGATGTCCACCCACACTGAGAGGTAGGTCGACACCCAGGCTGCCTGTTCCCACAAGTCCCAGTTTACCCAATTTATCAGCACTGACCTGCTTCTTAAAGCTTCTTCTCTGCATCGAGTTTATTTACATTTATAGAAGTCAAAAGATCAACATTATAAGTGTCTAATATTTGGTTAATGACCAAATACCTGCAGGGCTAATTACATTCCCATCAGCCTCGGCTGTACTTTGAGTGCAGCGCTAATTAGCACATGCTAACATGCTGAACAGACAGCTGGAACATTCCTCAAATCAATAATAATAATAATGAATGGAAATGTGCATTAAATCACATTTTCTTCAGCAGATTGGGTTGAAATATGCACTGAATCTCACTGGCGTAAAATATAAAACTACCTTCTTGAAACAAACGTGACAGAATTTTCAGATATGCAGAAATAAACCAAACTTTTTTTTTTCTTGACGCACAGGTCTGCACTTGACGACATTCTCTGCATAGTTGTATTTCTACTCCGGCTTGTTTTGTGTTCATCAGATCTAAAAAACGTTTTTTCCCCAAACCCCCCCCAACCCCCCCCCCCCCCTTCCTTCAATTTAGTCCTAAAAACATTAAAAACCGCCGAGAGGAAGAGGTACAAGGTTTTCACACGACAGCAGCAATCTGCTTTCATGTCGAGCTGTCAATCATTCCCAAAGAGTAGGCGTCACTCCCCCCCCCCCACCGAACCCTCCACACAGTGGATGTATCTCATTTGGCAAAGAGCCTCTTCATATTTCACTTTTCAGGAGACGCCTGTTCGTTTAATTTCTGCAGCTCTCTCTCTTTCTTTTTCTTTCTCCTGCAACTTTTTTTTCCCTCTCCCTCCTTCTTCTTCTTCTTCTTCTTCTTCTTCTTCTTCTCCCCCTCCGGAGTAGAAACACATTTCAATGACACGCCCACGCCTGGGCCTGTCAGCCCCTCGCCCTGTCAGAGCGCCCACGCTGCTCTGCTCCCTTTTCTCCCTCCCTTCTCCCTCCCTTCTCCTCTCCTTCCCACATCCTCAACACTTTGCGCTCTAAAAAAAAAGCAGCTCTTTTCATCCAAGTTCCTCTTTTGGAGAAAGAAAAGAGGAACAACAGATTCAGTCTCCAGGCGGTGGTAGTGCTTGTCATGGAGTGTCCCTTTTCATTTGGAGGGAATACGGGTTACAGGATGACTGTGATGCCAAAAAATATACATTTTAAAAACTCCTATTGTCGTCACCACCCAGACTCTATGTGCAGACTCATTTTAACGGGCGTGGATGTGTTGAGAAATCAAAGAATCTGGTCGGAAAGTCGTGTCTTTTCTCGTTTAGGCTGTTGTGTGTGTTGAGAGAGCATTAGTGTGTGAATATGCTGAAGCTGGTGTGTTTGCTCAGGCTCTCCGGTTAGCAGAGTCTTACTTTGTGTCTGTTGAGAAAGTGTGGGATGGTATGAGCGGCTTATGTCTGACTGCACACGTGTGTGCCTGCGTGGGTGGGGAGTGTGTATAGGGGCGATGTGTGTGTGTGTGTGTGTGTGTCTCTGCACACAGATTACACTCGTGTGGGAGTTTTGGGCAAGGATGTGTGTGGGTGTAGTGAGTGTGGGCGGAGGTTATGTGACATACAGATAGAGACGGCAGTGTTCCTGCAGTGTGTTTATGTGTGTGTGAAACTTTATGCACACACAGCTATAGGGGCCCTGCTGCCTGCTAACGTGAGAATGTGCTGCCTTCACTCTCATCTCCTGCAAGTTAAAGAATCACCTCCACCACAAAGTTATTCTGAAGTCCTCCTGACAGCAAGTACTAGTACGTAAAAGTACCAATACCACAGGGTATAAGTACACAAAGTATTAGCATCAACACTCCTCGTTGAGCTAAATGATATATATTACATGACTGGATTATGATTATTGATGTGTTCATTGCTGTAATGTTGCAGCTAATTTTAAGTACTTATGTTGTAGTATAAAATGTAAATACTCAAGTACAAGTACCTCAAAATTGTAGAATACATTACTTAAGTTAATGTACTTAGGTACATTCCACCACTGACAATTAGTTGATCCAACGCAAGTTAACTATTATTTTGATAATCTCTACATCATTTAAGTCAATAATAAAGCAAAGAATGCTCCTTTTTTGGTTTAATATAGTTGTAAAATAAATATATTTAGGTTTGCAGAACGAGACATTAAAAAAACAAGAAAACTGATCATCTGAACATCTGCAATGATAAAACAAAGCAATTCAAAACATTAAAAAAATGAATTAAATTTGGTGCAAAGAAAACACAATGTTTGTAAATGATTTGCATTATTTCTGCTGTGCATCACTTTAATGTGTTGCAGTGTTAGAAGGCGATGCGCTGGCCCTTTAAGGCTTCAGTGGGAAGCCCTGTGGCTCCCTGCTGACAGGCCGTGGGCTGACGTGGAGGGGATTTGCCCGGTTTGTTTTTGGCCACGTACGGGCCTCAGCGACCCTCGCCGCCCACAGCGTCCTCACCCCGAGAGCGCTGCTGACGTCTGACATGTCTGATATCTCTGGCGGAGGCAGACGACCACACAGTCAGAGAGAAACCAGCGTGACGACATCCACCTTGAGCTCATCTGAAGGTGTGATTAATCTGTTAAGTGCATTAATTTTTGCAGAAAGGTCAGATCCGACTGACATGAACACTAAAGGGGAGTAAAACAAAAAGTCCCTCGCAGGAGAAGAGAAGAAGAGCCGGTAGAAGTGATGAAACAATGCGAGCTACAAGGGTGTGAGCAAAGTTGAGGCAGGCTTTGAAGTGAAGCCACACATTTTGCATGATTATTGCTGTTAAGTTTTTGATCTCGAGCCAGCAGGCACGAAAAACAACAGCAGCTTGGGATTAGTCTCCCCCCTCCACTCACACGCCTACCTTGCCAGCATAAGTCCCTGACTCAATTAGAAAAAAACCTCTGCAACTTAGGGCTCCTCACGCACAAATACCCACATCGGCCTGCCCACGTCCCTGCAGCACATCACAACCAGCATCTCCTGGAATCACAGGGTACAATGAGTGCACGGGGATTCGTCTCGGTGACATTAATACACACACTGATAAGACAACAGGGCCGAACACACAGAGGAAATTAAGATTTATCTGCCTTTAATTAAATACCGCACATCATCCGTGGAGGTTTCTGCCTGCGTTTCAGTCTTGACGGGATAAAAAAAAATCAAAAACCAAACAAGGAATTGAACCGTCAACCCAGAATTAAGAAGAGTCATAATTTCCACAGAAATTCGGTGAGGTCACTGCTTCCCGGTCACGTCGGCGAACTAGGAAGTGAAGCGGAGCCGCTTACTGGAAATGTCCTCCAGGTAAAATAAACTCTGGAGTAAAATGCAAATGTCGTGACGGCGATCAGTGAGTTTAATCTGCACTCTGGACAACAGCGTCGTATAAATGACTAAAATGTAAATGTTGGTTGTGACCCAGCAGCTCACTGTAAAGCTGGTCCTATTAGAAGTCACACTGGACCAAAAAGTCAGCTACAAGCATCTAAAATACACATTTAAAAGTCCTTTTCCCCGGAATCCTACAAATCAGATTTACCACCTGTGTCCAGTCTTCTCTGTCTTTTTGCTCTGTTTTTGGTCTCCACCAGCAACTCTTTAGCTGCTAAATGCTGCACTATGTTCACCAGCTCACTGTAAGTAGGTAGTGAACAGTGGAAACAGCTGCCTGCTTCTGCTGGATACACGAAATCCTTAAAAAGATCCGAAAACAGATTTAATTCCAAGAAGACTTTAATCTGGAACAAAAAAGGGATTCTTACGATCGTTTTCTTTTTCTCGTTTCTGCCACTTCGTAATTAATCCAATAAAAGCTCGATTGAAGCTTGATTAAATTCAAGGTGTAAATCTCTGTGTTACTGTGTGACTTCCACTGACATCTCATTGGTTGAGAGAGTGGCCCCGCCTCCAGCAGGAAGTAGATGACAACACGAGGGCTCTGCACTCTCCTACAGCGACTTTAAAAGTTTGCCGGGGTGTCGGCTGAAAGCTTTCAGATGTAAAGTGCAGCTCTCCTGTTGTGTTGGGCCCCGCAGGCTGCGGGGGCCGGAGGAGGGCCCAGGCGGGGCCCAACGGGGCCGAACGGGGCCGGCCTGCTGGGCTGCTGGGCTGCTGGGCTACCGGCCGCCCACGGAGAGGCCTGGCTGGGTGGGCGTCATCTATGGAGCAATTGATCCCAGCCAGGACACAAAGTCTCCCTGTTGTCCTGCTCCACCAGCAGCAGACCTCAAAAAGTTACTGCAACATATACTGTTGTACTACTACTACTACTAGTACACTATTTAAAAATACTCAACAGTACCAGTAAGCTTATAGGATCAGATGCGCTGGGATACTACTACTACTACTACTACTACTACTACTACTACAACTAGTACCACTACTACTTCTACTACTACTATAACAGTACTTCTAATAATAAAACCTGCAATGCTACAATCTTTAAAATCTACTACTTTGCATAAAAGTAATACAAGTATATACAAATATCTAATAACACCACCACAAGTATTACCAACTGCTGATAATATTGTTATACTACACTAATACTGCGACAGGTATTACTGATATTATCCATACTGCTGCTGGTACTACTGTTATTACTACAATTGTGCTCTTGCCACTAGTACTTAGAGCACATGTATTTCTATAGTACTACAATTACAGTACTACTTGTGCTTGAACTGGACTACAGAGTACTTCATAATGTCTACTACTGACTCAAATATAATTTCAGTTCCCAGAAGAACATGTACTTTCTAGCATTGGTGGAAAGTACACAAGTATGGTACTTAAGTACAATTTTGATGTATTATACTTGCCATTATTACTTCTACTTCACTACATTTTAGACAGACTTATTGTCTGCATCATGAGTACTTTTGATACTTTACGTACAATTTGCTGATAAAAGGTCTGGACTACTCCAATATAATTCAGTGAAGAGCTCAAGACATGAACCTATTAAAGAGGTCAGAGAACTGAAAAGACAAGGTGTACTACTAGCATTAGAAGTTCCATGAAGTCATGAGACAACTGTGGAAGCTGTGAGGACAAAACGTTGTATTAGTACATGACTTTCTCCGGTGTTTCTGCTGCTGCTGTGGGTTCAGTGTGGAGGTGTTTGCCTGGAGAGGGTCAACGGTCATGCTCACTTCATCACCACAGCTGAGCGGCGGCGAGGTTTGTAGGTTTGGTGTTGACTTTTAGGCATTGAGGGAGTTTTGGGTCTGAAAACTTTTTTCATATCGTCTGCAAAGATGCATGGTCAAAAATGAGATGTTGTCTTTTTGTAGGTTCACAGGTACACCAGGAATCAGAAACTATTCATCGTGTCTGGATCTGAGGAGGTGTTCTGATCCCACTGAAAGGATTAAGAAGTTAATATTCCTACTTATATATATATATCCATACAACTCAGGTGTCAAGAAATGGACTTTGTATTCTCCAAAATACTTGAAGTCACTAAATAGAAGTCAGACTACGATCGCCAAAACTACAAATATATGATGTTGAAGTGAAACCAGACTAATCTTTCATCAACATAATGTACTAAACATCTACATTTCATATGAAATCTTAATAACAGTCTTACTTTTTTCACAGATGCAGTCTGACAGCAGCATCTGTTGGAGTCCGCAGATGTTGATGCATCTGTGAAAAAGAGATTTTATTGTAATTAGTCCGGTTAGTGACACTTCACTCTGCATCTCACGGTATTCATCCTCATAACCCATCATTAACCACATCATAGACCTCCACTGCTCATGGCAGCCTCTCATTGATCTTTAATGATTAATAATGCATGTCCATTATATAACAAGCGCGCTGCCTGTGCTCTCTGATCTACATTGTGAGGGTATAACTGAATAAATGATTGTTTACGTTCTCTCCCTCTCATCTCTTCCTGATCAGCTGACGGTATTCGATATGAAATAACCTCCCATCCTGCTGATGCTGATTTGTCTGGTGAGACGGTGAAAAGGCAAACATTTTTGGAAAGCGCCACCCATTGTGACCGGTGGATGAAAAATGTTAATTTTCCTCTCTTGATAATGATGCGTGTCGTTTCCAAATGTGATTACACAAACAGAATGGTGTGTAATACGCTTGTAATGTGCTTAAGATGTTTTAAAATACATTAGCATGCCTGCACACTGTGAAACGTAAAAGACCCCGAAGGAAACCTCGAAGGTTTTTCTTCTTTAGATTAAAACTACAGCGGGACCGGGACGGTTCCCTGAGGAACCCCAGGATTAAGGATTTACAGTTAAATCTGGTCATTTGTGACATTTAACAGCTGTTTCTCTTTTTATTTATTACATTTCTTTAAGAACGCGTGCCGATCTCATATAAATCCACTCATGGCACGTATGTTTTGCAATAGTAAACACCAACATGTCATGAGCGGCTTTGTTTTTTATAACAAAAACTTTTTGTCTGTGAGCAACTGACTGATCAGGAGCTCAGAGACCTGGATCACCTGGTTCTTTACAGTAAATAATAAATAAAAACCTCAAAGTGGATCATCCGTTTGGTCCAGAGAAACATCCGTCATCCCAACCCGCCTCCTGCATTGAAACAAACATCAGTTAATCAAATAAGGATTTAAATGTGTGCCGTACGTGGACAGGTGACATGGCAGCATTGTCACTCTGCTGTGTAAGCGGCAGCGAGGCTGCATGAACACAGCCGGTGGGCTGATGTTAGAGCGACCATGACAGCTGTCTGCTCCTATAAGTCTTAGTCTGCTGCACACGGTTCACACTGCAGCGCTGCTGTGAAACCAAACAGCTAACGGGGCTAAAGGCAGCGATCAATAGAGGCTTTGTGCGTTCATCATGGTCTATATACAACAAACGGACTCTTTTTCATTCAGTAAAAACAGAAAATCAGCAAAAAACAGAACGATAAATACATATTTTCATTATCATTTAAGTTAGCGGGTCTTTAAATCAATATTTCATCAATAAATGTTCATAATGACGTCTTTAAATGCTTGTTTTACCAAACAAAATATTTTACAACAACATTGAAATGAATAAACTGTTAGCAAGTTAACTAGCCAGCTATAGATAATAAGTTAGCATTAGCCGCTAACTAATAATAATATGACTACAAAGGCATGAGTTGTTTCTCTAGCCGAGGCAGACTGCCTCCACAGAAACGCAGACCACCTATATGCTAAATAATCATTTATTGTTTGAATATTTACCACGAGGCAAAGAATACTTAACAAATATCATTCATGTAAAAGGAAGGTTATTGACCCTGACAGTGATTTAGAAGACAGTCTGTGGAGCACAAACACCAGCAGTATTTGTTGGTGCTGTAATGTTACTGTAGAACAAACTGTACACAAACACAAGCACCACATTTAAAATGTGTCGCTAACGTGCAGCGCTTGTGTTTCATATAAATCAGCATATGTGTTTTTAAAATAGGCACAAATCTCTGGATCCAGAACAAAGAGAGCAAGAGGCAGGCAGCCATGTGATGTTTAGTCTGCAGCATCCTGCCAATAACGTGACTCTCTGCTGTCTGAGTCTGACTCAGACCTGACTCAGGTGGTCCTGATCGCGGTGCTGCAGGAGGTCTGACCCGGGTCGTCTACGGAGGACTCATCTTTGACCCGCTCAGTTACACCTCACAGTTCAGTCATCCAGCTCGCTGGTCTCCTGCAGCTCGCCTGAAGCTGCTTCAGTGGTTTCACTACAAACACAGAGGAACCGCCACAACAACACAAGCTGTGACTCATCAAGTTCAAACATGTTTCAGTCTTTATATCTAGAAAGTGCGACTGTGTTAATGACTTGATTTGTCTCCAAATTCACACAAATGACTGATTTCTGCGCCAGAATTCTATTTGGGAGTTTTGGAAACCTCCATTGAGACAATTGCTGAAGACTGTGGTTCCCAACATAGGGGTCAGGGCCCATTCAAGGGTCCCCGAGATAAAGCTGAGGGGTCACAAGATGACTAAAGGGATGAAGAATGAAATCAATTATTTTTCTTGAACTTTGATCTATTTTCTTCTCATGAAATACTGAAAACTCTTCAAATCAAAGTAAACATTTGATGAAGTATCTAAGAAGTTTGGGAAATATTAAGAAAGGCTCTGAAACTATGAACACTATTTAAGCTGCACAACCAAGAAAACAAAACTAAATTCTTAAGGGTGTTTAAGAGGTCTAACGTTTAGGAATTATAAAGGTTACAAGCTACATATATTGAGTTGTGCATGACTTTTATTAATAGAATGATGTAAAAGAAGCTTACGAGGAGATTACAACCCTTTGGTTTCTCCACGTCGCCACTCAGCGCTCGTCGAGGTGCGTCTGTGTGATTTCAACGTCTTGTTTTGGCCACAAAGTGTCCTCTGACCTCTCCGGGGAGGAGCCGTCATCACCTCCATTCCACAGATCCGGCCTCCTCGGGGCATCTGGCTCGCCTCTGCATCGAGGAAAAAGAAGATATAAATAGCTTCAGGTTGTATCCGGGCAGCGACTGATTCGAATAATAGTCATGCTTCTTAATATGATGGTTATTAGGGAGAGTTAACACAATGGGCTCTGGGGAGACCACATCTGGATCATGTTAGGAGAAAGGAGCATCAGATTTGAACCCTCAGGTGTTTTGGTGCTTTGGGTCAAAGAAAAAGAAAAGCACAAGAGGAAAGAAGACCAACACAGGGGGCTGACAAGCTCAGAGTATTCAAAGACAAATGCGTTTTGGATGTTGTATAAAAATCAAAATAAAAGAACAATTATTGACATTTTCCACCTGCTTAGATGAGAAAAAGACACAGCTGATGCGTCCAATCCTCCACTGAAGCTGTGAACATGCAGCCTGTTTGTTCCAGTAATTGGAAACATCTGCAGGTCAGCGCTTTGATTTCTCAGAGAGGTGTCAGAGGACTAAAGAGCCCGTCTCCCCCCCCCCCCCCCCCGGGTGTCTTTTGAATTAAAAATGTGCAGCAGCTTTTGGTCGTGACACCTCCGGATAAAACAACACTATTATGCTGTTCATTATGAAGCGAGACAAAGCAGCAGCAGAGGGGCTGGACGAACGTCTCCACGGGTCTCAGACAGGACGAGCGCGCCAAGACAGTTTGATTTTATCATTTCTTTTCTATATATAAATATATATTTACGACAGCTCAGTCTAGTTTTTGAGGAAGCCTATTACTGTCCTCCCACACACACCCATCAGTAGCACCACGACCTCGATAACCCTCCACACACACTCAGAGGCTGCTTCAGTCCGTCGAGACGCCAGAAACACAGCAAACCTCCCGACACGCTACTGCCATCAAGTGGCTCATTCACAACCTGCCTCCAGCGCTTTAAACTAGTACTGTACTTACTGTAAGTACTGTCACGTTACACTTCTACTCCACAGCCGTACAATCATTGTATTCTTAGTAAAAATACTTGTTTGGCTGACTTCTATATGACATATTACTTTGTAAATACTAATATAATAACTTAAATAAGATGAGGAATCCTCATCTTATTTAAGTGCTCAGTAAAATGCAAATGAAGCTCCTTTAATTGTAAACGTCTCTGGTCCTCACAAGGCCAGTAAAACACACACAGCCATTAAACTCAATCTGGGGTGTTGTTTGTGCGATAAACATTTAATAACGTTTTTCACCGATAGGATTAAGTGACACCGATGGAGTTTGTTAGGAAAAAAACAAAAACACCCTTTAATCGTTTAATTTACAGGAGAAAACAGCAGCCTTTCTTCATCTCGCTGTGTTTTCTTTGGCATGAAAGTAGAAAACAGACGGTGGAGACGGCGTGTCGGCGGTTGGCAGCTTCAAAAGAAAGACATGGGAAGACCCTCAGTAGGAAGCACAGAAACATCTGATAATATTAATAAGTTAGTGATGAATACAGGTTAAAAAGAGGCACTTCTTCAGTAAACGACATAAATATATGAAGCAGCAGTTCATCCTGCAGATTTAAAAGTGATGAAATCTGAAACAAAAGGAGTCTCACAGTCTTCTGAACCTGGAAACAAACTCAACATTAATCAAAGAAGTAAATGAAGTCATTAAATAATCTTGAAGGACTCTCCACCGATAGAAGGCAGTGAATACAGAGCACACCGCCTTCCAAACATTCAACCCAAACTCCCCTCTGGTCTCAGAGCCGTTACAGTCTCTCTATAGGCCGTGTGTGGAGCTGCAGACGGACTGTAGGACTGAACACACGTGTTCAGGTGAATGTTGTCGCAGAGCTTAAAGCTCTAAATGAACGCTTGGTGTGTTTCCGGCTGGTTTCTCCTCCTCTGTGTGAGTTGGGGTGTGTTTGCTCTCTGTCCTTGTTAAGAGTCCGTGTTTGGTTGCGTGGGTGTTTCTGTGCCGTCATCGCGCGGGTTTCTGTGCGACGTCGCCACCGCCTCGTCCTCGGCCGACGCCTGATCATTAGGTGCCTGGCAACGAGAGGAACACAACAGTTGACTGGAGGAACACGTCTTTGAGTTAGTTCAGGGGAAAGAGCCAGCAGGATGTCACATCAATGCTAACGTGTTAGCCTCAGGGCGCTAACTGGATAAACAGCCAAACCTTCCTTCATGTCGAACTTCATCTGCTGCACTAATCTGTCTTCAGCCTCCAAACATGGCCGCCGGCGGTGACATCACCCAGTGACGTAAATATGGCATGCGTGGCACCACGACACGGGGGGGGGGGGGGCTCGCAAACATGCATGAACACGCCCCCGCACCCAAATAGATGAGTCACCACACACACACACACACACACACACGCGGTAGTTTTCCATCAACCTTTGTACACAAAAAAGTCTCACCTGTCTTCAGGGTGAGTGTGTGTGTGTGTGTGTGTGTGTGTGTGTGTGTGTGAGTGAGTGAGTGAGTGTGCAGCCGGTTAGAGGAGGAAGTGTCAGAGAGTTCAGGTTAATGACAAAGTAACAAGATTAAAACATGAAATCAATCATTTAAACTAAAAACATCAGCAGATTAACACTTAATGCAGGAACTTCACTTGTACCAGAGTATTATTAAAGTGTAGCAGTAGTACTTTTACTAAAGTAAAGGACTTGAATACTTCATCTATCTAATCTAATCTATCTAATCTATCTAATCTAATCTAGGTAAACCGTGACCGTATCTCTGCTACTCTTACTCCTTTAATAACTGCCCTGAACACGTTTTTAGTTGTGTTTGTGTTCACCTGCAGCGAGTGAGTCTCAGACTGCGGAGCTCCTTTCTGCTTCATGTTCATCATCTCTATGAGCTGGACGATGGCGAAGGCGATGGTGACCCAGGGGGCTCCGGAGAGCACCCAGGCCGGCCGGTTGGCGTCCTCCTGTTCCTCCTGGTGTTTCGACTTCTTGACGGGCAACGAGGAGGCCTTGCGAGCCGGGCCGGAGCTCCCGGCGGCGAACCGGTTCTGCACCAGGTCGATGGTGGCGATGGGAACCAGGCTGGAGGGAACCGGGATGTTCTCCGCCAGCATTTTGTCCTCTGAGAGAAGATGAGAGGAAAACAAGCTTTCTGTTAGAACAGATTTAACTCGTAGAGGAACCAGAGAAGGTATAAACTAAAAGCTGCCCACCTTTCCCCTCAGCCTCTCCGGTCAGATACTGGATCAGGGCGAAGATGAGGAGGATGACGAGGGAGGCCATGCCGATTCCTCTGAAGGCCTCTGCAGCACCTGCAAAGCAAACGGGAGGAGAACTCTTTGACTTCATCTTCATCTTAAGCCATTATTAAGCTTCACTAGAGCTGGAACTCGGTACTCGAGCCTCCGTCGGGTCGTACCGAAGTAGTTGACGAACACTCCTCCCACTATGGCTCCACAGCCGCGGCCCAGGCCCAGGTGGAGGCCCTGCAGGATGCCCTGCGCCGACGTCCTCAGGGCCGGCGGGACCGCCGCACTCAGGAAGGAGATGCAGGCTGCCCAAACCGAGGCGTGCGTCACACCTGGAGGACACACGGGGACAGACATGGGACACAGCTGGAGGAGGAAGACGTCTGAAACCACTCAGAACATTTACACTCTGTGGATCTTTGTGAACTGGTTCTATAGAACTGTGGGAAGCTGTACGTGTGAACCCGGCAGCTGTCGTGTTAAATGTATTGTTTCTCTTTTAGTTCTCTGAGGGAACAGCTGAGAGGCTCCACATTCAAGTGTTAAAAATCTCACTTCATTTATCAGGGTCACTGAGACTGTGATCACAACATACGCAACGTGAAATACGACTCAACAGTGGTCTGATTATTAACACATCATAAGTACGGCTTTGTTTAAAAAGCACAGTACTTCTATGACAATCTGTTATATATATATATATATATATATATATATATATATATATATATATATATATAAGTTTTCAAACTGTTTTTTGTCTCTTAGACGCCACAGACTTACAGATTTTAAAGCGCTTTGCTGCACAGAACAACTACTTCAGTGTAATTACAGTAGTTCAGTATAATGATGTACTTTGTGTGTGTATTTGGATCATTGCAGTGACTTAACATCCATGTAAAAGAAATTGCATATTAAGTTTTAAACTTTTTAATTGTTTTGCTGCTCGAACTAGAAGCTCGAGTATCAAACTGGTTTTCACTTGTTTATTCTGGAGGCGTCGGCGTTTTCTCAGGAAGGTAATCTAACAAAACACACACAGACGCTTCACTAGTTATCTATACTTTAATCTCATGTTATGCTTCTTCTATTGTTTTAATAAATCACATCATTTTCCTGCAAAAAGTCCTGATGTTTCAGCATCAGTGTTTGTGCCTCTTTAGTTGGATTCTTTCTACAGAAACTCTGGTAATTTATGTGTAAAATAAACTCCTAAAACTTTACTTTACAGGTGTCATAGTTTCCTGTTGCGTCCTTTAAAGGAGCTGTGATTTCAAAGAAAGGTTGCTGGAAACGTTGGCCTGATTTGGTGCCAATTTGTTACACTTATAATAATATAACAGTGTATTTTTGGAGGCTTTTTCACTGAATATTCTTTGTCTTATTCGGGGGATAATCACGCCTTCAGTTTTGAAACTACAGTTCCTATAAAGCTTTTTTAAGCCTATATTTGTTTACATTATTTTTCAAATTAAAAGCATGCTGAATTAAACATTAGCAGTGTATGTTTGTGATGTATAGAGAAAACTATCACTGGATTATTTTGACGCTGAATAAACCTTAAAAGCGTGCGGATTCTGCAGTAATAAGGAGGGTTTCCTGAGGTGTTGGAGGTCGGTTCAGGTCAAGTATGGAGCGGAGAGGAACCCTGGTGTTAACGTTAATGTTGACATTAAAATGTCGGAGGAAGAAGTCGGCCTGATAAGCGTCCTGTTGGACAAACGCAGCCCCTTCCTGTGGTGTCCGCGGGGTCCTAGCTCCCACCGCTCCCTTACCTTGAAGGATCTCCACGGGCAGCACGCTCCAGGCGTTCTGCAGGTACGAGATGTAGAGGTAGCGAGCCGTGTTGCAGGCCAGGCCGATGTACAGAACCCTGAGAGGGAGAAGGAGGAGGACGAGATGTCAATATACAACGTTATGATACCGACAGTCAAGTCTTTAAAGTAGAGCTGGATAAGTGCATGTCTGCAACTAATAATACTGCGTTTGTTTGATGTTCTCGTGACATTTCCTTCATTGAAAGTGTGTCTTTGCTCTCAACAGAATAAACAGATCACACCCTGAAAAGAGCAGCAGAGAGGATCAGCTCCATGTGTGTGCTGAGCACATTCAGGTTCAAAGGTAAACCTCTACATCGTATTTAGAGACGAGAGCGTTTGGTTTCTGCTCTGAATCATACGTTCCAGGAGAAAGTGTGTCACATCCTGTGACGAGCGAACAACATGAAGAACACAACGCGTGAGATGAAGCTGCTGAAAGAAAACTGAAAGTGTATCTGCTGTTGACTCAGAAACTAGTCCCGAGGCAACAGTTGCAGGTGCAGATCTGCAGCGGAAACCTAACACCACGCTCTCAAATGTCCCCCCCGCCCGCGAGCATCAATGGCTGCTTTGTCTCAAAGATTCACCTCAGGACGGAGTTAGAAGCACAAGATGTTCTGATCTACTGTCCAATGTGTGTCCAATTCTCTCTGTCTCACATTTGATAGACTGAATAAATAATGGTGAGAATAACAAATGAATCAATGAAAGAGTCTGCAGGTTATTCTCATACAGTGTGGCCTCCCAGGTGAGAGTCTTACCGGATGTGTCCGACCAGCTCGATGAACTTGTGGCTGGTGAAGTAGGCGGCGAGCTCGGAGACGTGGCTCAGGACGGAGCAGACCCCGAACAGCGTGGTGGTCCCCTTCAGGTCCTCCAGGTGCCAGTACAGGAAGGTGAAGACGAAGCCGTAGCCGAAGCCCATGAACCAGGCGACGAAGAGCACGGAGCTGTAGCGCACGCTGCACAGGAGCTTCAGCAGGTCGCTGTAGTCGAACTCCGCTTCAGGGCCGGTGGGACTCTGGTCCGACGAGGTGGACTCGGGTAGTGCTCTCCGGGCTCCAGCTTCACCTGAAAGCTCCTGGTGGTAGTCGCCACCTTTATCAAAGTGAAACTGAGTGGCGACGATGAACGCCACGCTCATCAGCACGCCGAAGGCAATGAAGGCAATCTGGTAGTTGGGGAGATTGAGGTCCTCGCAGCCGATGCCGCTGATCACCACCTTGGTGTACGTGTGGTCGCTCCAGATGCCCACCAGCAGCATGGCTATACCCCAGCCCAGAGAGCCCCACATCCTCTGCAGGCCGTAGCGGTCGCGGGCCTTCCCGAGGTTCTGCAGGGTGACGGTGTCCACGATGGTGAGGGTGGGGGCGGTGAAGAACTCGCCCACGATAACGACGAGCAGGATGAGAAGGAAGATGCTCTCCACCTGGTCCTTGTTGTAGATCGTCTGGTACTCATTGGCTTCGGTTGGAGCTGGGGGGGTTGTGATGGTGATGAGGGTGGTGTTTGGTGCTGAGAGGGTGGTGTTCGGCAGGGGGAGGGTGGTGTTCAGCGTAGGCTGGGTGGTGTTCGGAGGGGGGAGGGTGGTGTTCAGTATAGGCTGGGTGGTGTTACCCAGTGGTGAGGTGGCGTTGGTGTCTGTGCTTCGCTCGTGCCTATGGTGCACGCTTAAATAGGAGTCCAGGATCTTAGGAATCCAGTCCAGGTCTAGAAGGCTCCGGCGTCTCCTGGTGTGGTTGGTGGAGTTGCTCAGCTGCGTGAAGTTATCGTTCAGCAGAGTCGTCGTCATCACGGGCGCCACCGCCGTCGTCGCATCAGCATCTTTCTGCACACATATCGTCTCAGCCGGCTTCACAAAGCCGATGCCGCAGTTGAAGACCAACCAGCACAGAACGGAAAACAGCAGCACGACCTTCCCCTTCCTGTAGCGGTCGGCCACCACCCCCCAGAAGGGGGCGCTGCAGAACTCGATGAAGTAGCGGATGCCGACGAGCAGCCCGCTGCGGCTGGCCGACATGCCGAGCTGCTTGTAGTACACGGCCAGCAGAGGGTGCAGCGAGCCGTAGGCGGCGTAGAAGAAGAAGTAGAAGACTTTGGAGATGAGGAGGCGGGTGTTGATGCGGAGGCACATCCTCTCGCAGAAGTCTATCGAGTCGGCCTGCAGGGCCGTCAGCTGCTCGGGCGGCGTGTCCGAGGCAGGCGGCGGCGGCGGCGGCGTCGCAGAACCCTTCGACTGCGCGTCGAACGGCTCGGGCAACACGTACTTCATCTTCTCCTCCTCCTCGTCGTCCGACAGGATGGCAACCTTGTCGTCTGCCATATCTGGAAGATAAGGAAATGAGCGCGAGAGCGGCACCAACGTAACCAAATGATGCTGAATCTATTGTGTCTGCTGTGTGAGACCAAAATGATGCACGATAAGGGGGTCCTGTGGCATTCATCAAACAGCCAATAGCTCTAAATACTGCTGACACAGTCATTAAATAGATTGTTTTGGGTAGTAACACAAATGATGAATGATCATTCTGGTTGTGATTAAGGGACACACAGGAGTTACATCAGGTCATCTTATTATAACATATTACATATCATTGTTAAAGCCTGACACTGGTTGAACCCTACGTTTAGATCCGTGAAACCTTTATTTAATTAGTGAAAACAACATAAAAGGGGACATTTCACTACTAGAAGAGTTATTTGTACCTTCTTAAATACAACTACACAGCTCTGGAGTCAGAATACTCCTCTAAAGTAAACATCAGCGACGTCAGGTTTGGTGGACCTTTAACGACCGCTGCTGGTCCCCGGACCACCGTTTGAACACCGTCTGCCCGTCACCGCCTGTCACTGAGGATCCTATACGGAAGTGACTGTTATCTCAAACAAAGCCGGCTCATTTAAGCCGAAAAATAAAACAAAATTCACCACATTTGAATTGAGAAAGTGACGCAAATGATCCAAAATGATCCTCACCTGCTCAGGTCACTGCGCAGTTTCTGTTGAATATCCCTCTTCTTTGTCAGACATGTTTCACTTAAAACACGTCATAAATAAGACTTCAATTTAGCGGATAATGTTTTAAAATAACCGCAATGCGTTAGTTTTATTTCACTGTTGAATTAAAGTGTTTCTCCGGCTCCGCTTTCTTTGTATTGTGAACAGCAGCAGCTCGTCAAACCGGAGCTCCCACCTGTCCAACCATCAAGTCCGCCATGATGGATGTTACTGCTTCCGGAAAACGCTTTCAAAATAAAACGCATTGTTATTTTATACGGAGTTCATGGAAGATTTTTTGAACCCAAAGCTGGATGCTGGAATCATAACTTATTATTGTTTTATATATTTGTTGCCCAACCGCACTTTATGTCAGATTCCATGTGTTAATATAATTTGGAATTATTTATTGTTTCCGGAGACAATATTGTGCTTTTATTTTTGTTAATATCCGGTCACCTCTGTGCTAAATTTCGTCACCATAACACAGCAGAGCGACTCCACCTAATAATTTACATTAAAGGGGAAACTTCCCATTAATCACAATGAAAACACTCCAACAATTCAGTTTAACATGTTAAACTGACTCTGTGGAACTATTACTGTCAAACAATAGAGAAGAATATAAAAATATGACCTTGAACTCACCATGATGGGTCGGTAGATGTCCCTACAGAGACATTATATGGATATTATAGCAACTTACAAATATTTATATATTATGTCATAATGTTGTTTTCAATGCAATACACCTGTTTTACCTGCAGGGGGCGCTGTAGACTTTCGTGTCACATTTGAACTGTTGATGTGAACGTTGAAAAATATTCTTAAATAATAAGTTTTGGTCAATAAAATGTCACAACATCCAATTTAATGTTTTCTAAACTTCACATCAGGAACATTGAAAACACACTGATTGTACCACATCCACTCATGTAAAGAAGAGGCAATAAACCCTTTTTATTAATATACCTGTTGATGAATAAACTAACCATAAAATATTATGCAACAGTAGTTTTAGGATAATCTCTTCGACAGCGTTGTTTTTTTTTGGGTGTGAAGCAGATGGGAGATCCGACAAAATGAACCGCAGAATCTCAAATCTCTTCTCAGACGAGCAGATGTTTTTGTGGGATTTAAGCAACGATGTGGAAACAACAGAAATATTGCCTGAAAGTCAAAATGCTGTAGTTTAATATCGTCTTACTGTGAGAATAAAGAGCCTAAAAAGACTTAATGGTGATATATTTGAGAAGGAAAGACTCAGTAGTCCGACTCATCTGAAACCTCTCCCTGCTGCGTCCAGTGCTTCCTCCTCTTCTCCTTCTTCCTCTTCCTCTCGCCCATCAGCATGGCGGCCAGCAGGGTTATCACCACCGTGAGGGAGATGATGAGCACGGTGACGGTCTCGGCGAGGCACAGCTCCGTGTCCACGTCTATCAGCCGGTAGTCCCTGAGGACCGCCGGCTCCTCGCAGGTCAGGTTGTAGTAGTCGTCCAGGAAGAGCCTCTGGATGCTCCGCAGCTTCCAGAAAACTCTCTGCAGGTCGCAGTCGCACTGCCACGGGTTGTCCACCAGCAGGATGTGGGTGCTGTAGGTGTGGATGCTGAGGAACGTCTTGAAGTAGATGGTGGACATCTGGTTGTTGGCCAGGTCGAGCAGCGTCATGCTGGTGAGCGGCTTGAAGACGGCCACCTCAATGTCGCCGATCTGGTTCCCGGCCAGGTTGAGGAGCTCCAGGGAGCGCAGCATGGAGAAGATGCCGCTCCGCAGAGACCTCAGCTGGTTGTCCTGCAGGTGGAGCTGCCGCAGGCTGCTCATGGAGGAGAACGACCTCACCTGGATGGTGCGGATGCTGTTGCTGCTCAGGTTCAACCTCTGGAGGCCGTCCAGGTGCAGGAAGCTGCGGCTGTCCAGGCCCGTGAGTCGGTTGTGGGCGAGCTGCAGCTCACGCAGCAGGGCCAAACCCACGGAGAAACCTTCAGAGAGCGTGGAGATCCGGTTCCAGCTCAGGTCCAGCTTCTGCAGGAACTCCATCTGCGAGAAGCCGCCGTTCTCCACCATGCTGATGTTGTTGTTCTGCAGCAGCAGGAATCTGAGCTTGCGGTTGTTGTTGAAGGAGCGCTCGGGGATGACGGAGATGCGGTTGTCGGACAGGTCCAGGAGCTCGGTGTCGGGGGGGACTCTGCCGGGCATCTGGGTGAAGTGCGCCCGAGAGCAGATGGTGAACTTCAGATCTCCCCGACAGTCGCAGCCACGCTTGCACCAGCTGCTGTGAGACCTGGAGGACGCCTCCGTCACCACCAGCAGGAGGAACAGCAGCTCCTTCATGGCCTCAAAGCTCTCTAAAAAACAACACAGAGAGGAGGTCAAACACCAAATAAGTCGTATTTTATCACCGGATTAAATGGATAAAAGGTGCATCAAAATAAATAGAATTACTCGCTGGATCTGCTGTTACAGTTGACCGACTTCTGCTCAAACAATGAAGTTTCCACATCACAACAAGCATCGACTATGCAGACGGTCAACAAATGAATAAATGTCAGAGTTTAAGGACATTATTTTCTAATTGGTTTCAAGAAGGTGCAGAATTAGTTTAAAGCTGAAGGAACATGAAGGTCCTGTAGAATATATATTCATGTCTTCAGTCGGTGTATTAAAGCTTTTAAATGCAAACAGCTCGCAGCCTCACAGGCTCTCATCAGGGTGGAGGTAATATCTTTACAGCTTGTGAGGCTTAAACCATTAATAACCCAAACTAAATCTTTTTAAATATAATCCGGTTATCATTGAGGAACAGATCCTCCTCTCTGTTTCAGGTTGTTTCTTACCAGCTGCTCCGGTTTGGTGCTCTGACGGTCGTCAACACGTAGCCGGCGCCAGGTGGAAACTGGACATGACGGAGGCGAGGGAGGGCAGGTTGTCACGGGCCGCAGAACCCGACCAGCGACAAAGAGACAGAGTGATGGAAAGAGACACAGGGAGGAGCGACAGCTCGTCAATTATTCACCAGGCGGGACGGGGGGGGAGGCGGTTAGGAGGGAGGCGGTTAGGAGGGAGGGCGTTAGGAGGGAGGTGTTAGGATGGAGGCGTTAGGAGGGAGGCGGTTAGGAGGGAGGCGGTTAGGAGGGAGGTGTTAGGAGGAGAGCTTTAAGAGATTGAAGACAAACTGGGCCACGAGCTGGGAATTAGAAGGTCTGGATGGATTTGATTGATTGCAGGCGGAAGAGTTTATTTATGGATCTGTACACATTTAACCACACCTTTTCACCCCCTAATATTCTCTTGATTAAGAATGATTTATAAACTCTATCTACATTAATTTATTGTATTTAGGTTGTAAACATGTAATTAAATTACGTTTTTATCATGATTTACCATTTCTGAGACTCGGCCCTGTTGTAATGTATTTATTTGGTTTTAATAGTGCAGTTACATTTGTTTGTTTTAACAATATTCATAATTTTATATATTGATCATTTCATTGTGATGGAATAATTGGTTTTTATATTGAAATACTTATATTTTTCATTCATATATATTTTTTTTATCCCAAAACAAGATTTGAGTTTCTATTTAAACAGAAGAAAAGTTGGAGAAAGGTGAATTGTAGTCGTCTGGCTGATACCTGTAAACTTCAGTTCCTCCATCTGACAACAGGTCACAGGTAACAGGTCAGAGGTCACAGGTCAGAGGTCACAGGTCAGAGGCTGCTCTTTTGGGTGTGATTTTCGAGGGATTTCGTGGATTAAAGACGACAAATCAGCAGCTAAAAGAAAGAAACGTGAGAAACCCGACACCAACGAGAGATTAAACGGTGTTTATTCTGTGACGCTGAAGCTCGTCAGCGACAGATGTGACGTGTTTGATTCTCATCTGCAGGATGAAGCGTATCAGATAGATGAAGATGAGCGGACCTGTTGGTCACAGACGGACAGATTACTCTAATACGCTCAAATCCTCGGCCCGGATAAAGAACGCTCTGCAGCCGTACACCTCCATCCATTCAGGGATCACAGCGTGAATACTTTGAGCTGAGTCACATCTCCCCCCAAAACCTGAACTGTGTTCAAGACATTAGTTTAGTTACTTTACATATGAATTCAGATCATTTACTTCAGTCAAAGTACTTCTACCAGGATGTAGAAACACAACATTACAAGTAGAATATAAAGTAGATTCCTGAGGAAGGAATAATCTACCATCAGAGGGTATTTTGACGTCAGTTTGTGAACAGATGTTTATATATGTGTGTACTCAGTATACGTATATATATATGTGGTAGTTTCCTGAGCCCGGCAGTATCAGCAGGATTACAGCGAGACAGTGAAGTCCATGAAATGAAGACGCTGATCGGTAATCCCTGCAGACGACAGGGATTACCTCCACCTTCTGCTGCTGGAACATTTAAATCTTCATCTCACTTTTCTTCTTCACGGTTTCTTTGTGTCTTGTTTTAAATTTGCGGGCTGAAAAATCTAAAGTAGGGCTTCAACTGACGACTATAGACTTCATCGATTGTTTTCTATATTCACTGATTAATTGTTGTGTCAGTTAAGTGTCAGAAAATAGGGAAAAATCCCAAAATGACCAAAACCCGAAGATATAAATTGCGCATTAGAGAGAAAAGGTTGAGGTGATGGAATCAACTACTTCTTTCACTTTTAATAAATACCATCATATCTTAATCCATTATGAGAACTGACACGCGTCAGTGTGTCTCACCTGTGAGCAGGTGAGGTCATTGTGATGTCATCAGTCGGACTCGTGCGTGCGGTATTCAGAGCGGCCAGCAGGGGGCGGAGCCGGTCTGTCTGAAACCAGAGGAGTGGTGACAGTAGTACTCGTAGTAGAGGTAATGACACATACAGTACTAACTGTATAAGCAGAGAAAATAATAGTTGTAGCAGTAGTAGTAAAAGTACTAGTATCAGGAGTAGTAGTACCTAAATATATGATATTAAAATTAAAAAAGTTATTGAAATATGAAAGCATAACAACTTCCTTTTGTGTGTATTTTACTTATTTATGTATTTATATATCATGATATGATATTTATTCATATCATGTAGTAATGGTGGTAGTAGTAGTAGTAGTAGTAGTAGTAGTTAAAAGTAGGTAAAAGTAGTAGTAGAGGTTTTAGAGGTGGTAGTAGTAAAGGTGTGGAAGTATTTCTAACAGCCATGGTACGAACAGTGGTGGTGGAAGTACTAGTAGTACTTTAGTAATACACACACGCACACACACACACACGCACACACACACACACACACACACACACACACACACACACACACCTTGTTAGAACCTGATGACAGGTCCCGCCCTTCAGCTGTCAATCATCCCGCTCTGCGTCCCTCACACGTCTGACCAATAAAGAAAACTCAAATGTATTTACCAAACCTCTTTTGACATGAAGCTGAGCAGGGAACCTGTAGGTGTGTGTGTGAACTTGAGCAGCATGTGTGTGTGAGAGAGACGGGTGGAGGTGTAAATGAACGAGACAGCGTGGCGGCTCGTTCACGCCCCTCCTCACATCCAACATGGCAGCTCTGACTCTGTGACAGGAAGTGAGGTCACATGAGGTCAGGACATTGAGGAACGGGTCGGGGGGGAACAGACTGTCTCTGTCAAGTCCTCAATGTGACAGCTACTACTACCACAACTACTAATACTACTAATACTACTAGTGT